GTGTCGCGTTTTAAGTCAAAAAAGTGCCTCAGTTCATTTTGCTGAAGTGCAGATGTATCGTTTTACTATAAAATAGATTGCGATGGATTAATTTTGCTTTTATTCCTGCGATTTTGTTGTTAAATTCCTGGAATGCTAGAAAGTATGACAAAAACGATTGAGACAGCCTTCGGAAAGATGGGTATATATGTGTTGGAAACGCCAGGTACTAACTGGACATATGCAGCTTAGGATGGACAGGTCGGACATTACTGCATATGAAGTGTGTGAACATCCCAGAACACTGATTCGACACCTATTGTTTCAGCAGTTTTTATGCCTTTTTGCATAAATAGTGAAATGCTAGTAATTCGATTTCCAGTGCTGCAAAACCTACAAAGCTGAAGTTTTAACAAATAATTCCACCAATCTGGATGACTCCCCTGACGCAAAATGAATGTTCACGTCATCTTGCTTCTCTGGTGCGGAAGCATCAAAGATATTTTTGGTGAGAGGGTGGGAGGGAGGGGGAGGCGATTTCGGGAACCAGTCAAGCTAGAAAGCTGAAATTATGAGAGCATATTCTCCGCCCGTGTGCGACCTAGGAAGTTTAAATCTAGCATCTATACCTTATATGTCAGAATACAAACTGAGGCATATCTGGTACTGTGCCTACTCGGGAACCAGACTAAGTAGAAGGCATTATGAGCTCAACTACTTCAGGCTTTTCTCTTTCAGTTTTCATCTAGCGATATATGGCTGCTTGTAATCGTTAAACGATAAAGTGGGGGAGCAGAAATGCAAGTGTTGCGAGTGAAGTCTGATTGACTTAATTATCATTTGCAGATGCCGCCGACTTCTTCAGTAAGTACTGCGCCAACGAGCAGCGTTCAGACAATATCAGGCGTGCCGACAGTGAGCGATTGCGAAGCGATTCTTTCGCAGATTTTTACTCAGTCAGGGCTTCCGCTGAATGGTGCTCAGGTTGCGGCTGCTGCTGCAGTTGCTGGATTACCAGCTGCAGCATTTGGGCTGGCCGCTGCTGGGACCGGCGGCTCATCGATTCCGAAGCCGTTTAGTGCAAGCCAGGCAAACAGCAGTAAGTATTTGCTTCACTGTCTTCAACAGTCTGATTAAGCCAGAAAGCGGCCATACTAGGAGCCATTATCCTTCACATGCCCAGTAGTCTTCAAATGCCATCCTTTCGCGTAAACTGTTTTTCGGTTCAACCCATTTACTGTTTCTGTATTTTCTGTAAATACTGCAGCCTAGAGCTGGCGGTGGCTGTTGGCGCTCAAGTCACTTCGTCTCTTCTTATTGCATACAAAATGTAAAGCATGGGAAGAACTTCGACATTTCTGGCGGTCCAAAGGACATTTAGCGTTGAGTATTTGACTTCATCCCAGTAATGTTGCATATTGTCTGTATCTTGTATGCTATAAAAAGAGGCGAATTATAGGTGTTGGTTTTTCTTTAACAAAAAAATGTTCTTTGTCTTACTTTAACATTTCTTCTCTTTTATTGCTGAAATTTCTTTAGGTTACCAGGGTACGAACACCACTGGCCGACGATCGAAGTATTGTTCGGCCGAAGAAAAAAAAGCAGTTGCTGATTACGCCGAAGCGCACGGCCCAAGTGCAGCAGGAAGGAAATTTGGCATCCCAACTCCGGTTGCAGCATATTATCATCGCAAAGAATACAGATCAAAATTGAGTGGCAAGTTTTTCAGACGGCTTTTAAGGCATATCAGTCTGATTTGATGTTTCCATCTGTCTCTAGTGGGTCCAAAACAGAGACACGTTTGTGTTGTCGGAAAGACCGAACTGCTGCTGGTTTGCACGTTTCATTACGGGGACCTCTGAATAGCTTTGCCAAACTCTGGTTGCCGATACCTTGCTTCCATTTACTTTCGACTGCCTCCACTTCGCACAGAAAGTGTCGTGTAGAGAGCAAGAGTACCGAATTTTGCAGTGCTGTTTTTTAATTCACTCATTTAGCTTGTTTTTCCTCTGTGTTCGTTTGGTCACGATTTTAACAAATATTTCGTTCTTATATTTCGTGTTCCT